ATAATTTATATTAACATGTTCTACCTCTGTTCTTCTAAGAGTTATGGTTTCAGGTCTTATATTTAGGTACTTAATCCATTTTGAGTTTATTTTTGTATGTGTTAGGAGGAAATATTCTTACCTCATTTTTTTACATGTAGCTGTCCAGTTTTCCAGCCTCACTTATTGAAGAGACTGTCTTTTCTCTATTGTATATTCTTGCCTCCTTTGTTGTAGATAATTGGCCATAGGTGCCTGGGTTTCCTTCTTGTCCATCTATCCTGTTCCATTGCTCTGTATGTCTCTTTTGGTGCTAGTATCATACTGCTTTGATTACTACAGCTTTGTAGTATAGTCTGAAGTCAGGGAGCATAATACTTCAGCTCCATTCTTTTTCCTAAAGATTGCTTTGGCAATTTAAGATCTTTTGTAATTTCATATAAATTTTAGTATTATTTATTCTAGTTCTGTGAAAGATACGGGTATTTTGAGAGAGAGTGCATTAAATCTGTAGATTGCTGTGATTAGTGTGAACATTTTAACCATATTAGTTCTTCTAATCCAAGAGCATAGAATATCTTTCCATTTCCTTCTAACATCTTCAGTTTCCTTCACCAGTGTTTTACAGTTTTCAGCATATAGGTCTTTCTCTTCCTTGGTTAAGTTTATTCTTAGGTATTTTATTCTTTTTGATGCTATTTTAAATGTTTTTTTTGTTATTGTTTTCTTCTTATGGTTAATTTATTAGTGTATGGAAAAGCAACAGATATCTGTATATTAATTTTGTATCCTGCGACTTTACTGAATTCATTTATTAGCTCTAATAGTTTTTTGGTGGAGACTTTAGAGTTTTCTATATAAAGTATCACGTCATCTGTAGATAGTGCCAGTTTTACTTCTTCCCCAATTTGGATTCTTTTCTTTTTCTTTTTCTCTTTCTTTCTTACCTTCTTTCCTTCCTTTCTTCCTTCCTTCCCTCCTTCTTTTCTTTCTTTCTTTCATATATTTTTTGTCTGATTGTTGTGGCTAGGACTTACAATACTGTGTTAAATAGAATTGTCGAAGAGTGAGCATCCTTGTCTTGTTCTTGTTTTTAGAGGAAAGGCTTTCTGTTTTTCACCACTGAGTATGATGTGACCTGTGGGTTTATCATAAGTGACCTTTATTATGCTGAGATATGTTCCCTCCCTACCAACTTTGATGAGTTTTTATTATGAATGGACATTGAATTTTGTCAAATGCTTTTCAACATCTATTCAGATGATCATGTGATTTTTTTATCCTTTTTGTTAATGCAATATGTCACACTGATTATTTGCAAATGTTGAAACATTCTTGCACCCCTGGAATAAATTTTAATTTCATTGATTTTTTTCTTCAGTATACAATTTACTGTTAATCCTTTGAGTTTATGTGGAAATTTTTTATTTCCTCACACTTCTAGAAGTTTTATCTAGGTCTTTTTTATAATTTCCATTTCCTTCCTCATAAATTTTATATTTCCCTTAGTATTTTGAGCATAGGGAGACTATTATAATAACTTTTTCATACTGTTAGCTATTAATTCTGTAACTTCTGTTATTTCTAATTTCTTTCAATTAGTTGGTTTTTACTCTAATTATATGTCATTCGTATTTTCTTGTTCCTATGCATGCCTGGCACTTACTGGATGCCTCACATTGTATGTAGCTTTATATTTTGAGGTATTACATTTTCTTGTATTTCTAATGTGTTGTATGTTGTTAAAGTGTGTAGTTAAATAAGTAAGTAATAGTTTAATCCTATAAAGGTTTGGTTTTAGCTTGATTTGGAAATGTCTAGAGCAGCCTTTGACCTGGGATTAATTTTTCATGTTACCAGAGAGGTATCCTTTTGAGTAGTCTTGCCCATGCCCCTGGATGTTACAGCTTTTCCACCTGTCCCAGCCCAGAGCTTGTTCAGCCTCCTGTTTTCTGGTTGTTCTTCAGTAGCTTCCTGGGATTCCATCCAATACATATGATATCAGTATTCAGGTCAAGGTTCCTGTCTCCAGATATTTAAAACTCCCCTGTCCAATATCCTCCTCCCGATCACCCTCCTCTTTGTATTGCATCGTGGAAAGTGCCTTCAGCAGTAAGCGGGGGCAGTTAAGGGCTCACCTTATTTGTTTCCCTTCCCTCAGGCACTTCATCTCTGGGTTTCTTTTTGTCTAAATGTCCAGAAACATTGTTTCCTATAGTTTCTCCTGTTTTTCAGTTCTTTGTAGTGGGAGGGTAATGTCCAAAACTGTTAATTCTTTATGAATTCAAGCACTGGTTGATTTATATTTTGTTGAACTTCCTGGATTGATATTCTTTGTTTTTTAGTTCTCTGCAGTGTTTTTTTTTTTACTGTATGTATTTTTTTCCTGGGAAAATGGCTTCTTATGTTCATTTCATGACCTGTTTTATTTTTATAACCGTATTTTATTTGTAAGAACTTCTGTTCTTTCTGATTATCTTAATTATATTGTGAAAATGATTTATTGTATGTATTAACTAACAATTTGGGGAGATTCTCTTTTCCTTGGATTATCTCTTTTTCCTTAGGCATTTGTTGATTTTGATTTTTCAGTTCTGTTTTAGGCTTTTTTCAGCTATGTGGTAATTCTTTGTTCCTCTACATCTAAAAATGAGGGGATGAAGATTTGCATGTGAGCTTTTTTTCTTTTGTGCTATAAGGCAGGTTTGAATAATATTTTACAAGTAAGGTTTGAAATGACTTTACAAGATTTATTTTGGAGATTAAAGGTGTGTATCATATGGGAATTGGTGGCTGGAAGGTTATCTTATTAAAAGAATGAAAGAAGTCACACAGATGTTGCAACATGAGAAAGCATGGTGTGAATGGGAAAATTCAGGACATTCAATGTGGCTGGAGTTTAAGACATGAGAGGGAGACGAGGCCAGCATGGAGGAAGAGATGGGAGTGAGAGTCCACCAGGAAAGATCTTGGGTATTATCCTAAGACACTAGGGCTTTATGCTGAATATGATGGAAAACCACCATGACTTCTATATTGTGAAGGAAATCTGTTGAGTCTGTACCATATGTAAGTAAGTCACTTTAAGTGTTTATAATGTCAAATGGCATCTAAACTAATAAGCATTCTGGAGGTTGATCTTCGCACAAAAACCACAATATCAAATGATAATTTTTGCTGAAGCTGAGGAAAAAAAAAAGACTTCAAAGCAGAGAAGTATGGGAATGCCCTGTCTCTTCTCTCCTGTGGGACCCCACACACAGCTCCCCTCTTCTGTAATGCTGTTCTTCTTCTTTCCCCCGAAGTACTTTTATTCACTCTCCAGACTCAACTTAAGCACTTTTTCCCTTGAGAAACCTTTCTTAAAGCATCTACAAGATTTAATTATTTTTACTTTCTGCTCTCTCACCACCTTATTTAGGCCTCTAAGACTTAAGGCTTTGCTACTGCTATGTGTTTGCATGTCTTCTACTCTCTTAGCTCTGCCTTACAGCTAGTCATTTTGTTGGTTATCAAGTGTAGGAAAATTACACTCCAGTCATTTCAGATTATTGTAGATGATGTGATTAAGTGACACCCATAGACTAAGGGGAGAGAAATCAAGGGATCTTGATACCTGTGTGTGAGTGAGTTAGGTATGCTCACTCATTCAAAGAAGAACTGAGAGTTATTTGGAGACTAAAGTAGCCGTGATCTGTGTGGACTCGGTCCCATGCCCACCCACCTACCTCCTCCCCTGTAATGCCAGGGCTGAAAGCAGAAATTCACATTTCAAAGCCTCTCATGTAGCCCTGTTCCCATTTGATCTGCCAAGGACAGGCACTTGAAGAGAGTAAAAGTCAAAAAAGTTGGAAGATTGTTTTTCCGGCTTCCAGTAGGGGAGGTAGGGGAAGTACAGGATCCCAGACTTCTGATCAGCACTGTGGTGGGTCCACCAGCAGCAGAAACAAAGTTCCCGGGAGTGTGAGTAGAATGTTGGCCCCTGGGCCATCTCAGGTTTCCTCCTTCATGCGTTTCCAGCTCTAAGGTCAGTAGCAGTTTCCTGCAGTTACTGATCTGAGAAATAGTACCTTAAATTTACCTTTTTGTTATAGTAGTCATTTCGATAATTTTGTAATCATTTTCCTGTTTGAATATTCCCTTCACTTGAAATCCTTATAATGTCTAGTGCAGTGCAGGGAAGGGGAAGTGCTGGGTAGGATGGTGGCAGTAGAGCTGGAGAAATGTGTAAGTCTGGGCTATATTTTGCAGCAGAACCAACACAACTTGCTGATAGACGGGATGTAGGAAGCAAGAGAAATAAAAGGATCAAAGATGATTCCTGTTTTTTAGTTAGAGATGCCCGCGTATTTACTAACATGAGGAAGACTTGAAGAGGACAAATTGGGCAGTGAGACAGGTATGTAGCCTGAACATATGGTGCCTTTAAGCTGTCCCTGCCCTGTCAATATCCTTGCAGCAAATGACACTCTCCATGAGTCCCTCTGAATCGAATATTGCCATTAGTTAAACTGAAGTGTAATATTTTGTTCGGCTGTGAAATGCTAGAAGGTGAAGCTGTGCTCATCATCTTTGTGTATCTAGCACTTAATACAGTGCCTGGCCTAGAACAGACTCTTTGTAATCATTTGCTGAATGAATAGATGAGTGAAATCTACCGTATCATGCAAATAGAGATCCCTTTGGGTGATAAAGAACTGACAATTTTTAGAGCAAATTCAAGGAAACAAAACTCCTCCACAGTATAGCTGATAGAAATGCTGTTACTTGGTGTTAGAACTTGGCACAAACTGCAAAGCAAAATGGTCCAATATAAGTACTGTGTATACATGAGAAAAAAATGGAAGGCAAAGGAGAGAAGGATGATAAAGTCGTACAGAATGTTCCCTCACCAAGGCTTCCTCCTGTTTTGCTGTCATACACATTACATAAAGATAATTCATTAACAATACATACAGATAACTAATTTATTTTACATATTTAAAATATGTATCTTATAACAAAACACAGTATGGCAATGATTTTCACCTGTATTTAATATATTTTAAATGAGCATTTTAAATATTACCATTTCACTGTACATACTCATTGTATTTGTGAATCAGAAAATAGTTCTTAAAAGACACCTTCATTTCATAGTACTAGGTTTTCAATTATGTGCAAATATTTAAGCAACCAAAATATAAAATATTCATTTATATTCTTAATGGATGTAGTCCAATCCATTTTTTTGGTCACACCAGATCACAACATACTTTCCTAAGTAAGCTGCATATTGAGTCTTGTGAATCATACATAAAAAGTTGTAAAATAAATTGAAATCACAATTGGGCTGAATATAGAAAGCGCTAGATTCCTGATGGGCATCCAAACGTTACAGAAATTAGACATTCAACACTTTATAGTAATTAAGAAACTACAGACACATGCCTCTAAATCAGTCATTCAGAATCATTCACAGCAAATGAGTCATTCAAAATCAATCACAACAAGTTCACTGACAAAGAATTTCTATACAATGAAACTATTTCCAAATCACAGATAATAATCTAATTACTTTGAACAATATTCAACACTAATAACAGTTCAGTGCAATTTAGTAATGAGGACACCCCTTGAGAGAGATTTGTTTTTTAATCAAAGGAAATTTAATTGGAGAGATTGTGTTCCAAATTTGATCCCAAGTTAACTGATAAATCTTCTGCTCATCACCATTCTTTATTTTAGGGCTAGAGTTTTTATTACACAACTGAGAAATTTTATTCATTGTAAAATTTCATATATCTAATAAATATTGTCACAGCAGACACAGCTTTAAAAAAATCCATGGTGTATCTCACCATTCCAAACACGTGAAATTCTTATCAATGATGTGCCGATTTTTCTAGGTGTCTATAAAAGTAAATTAGCCCTTCAGAATGTCTTAGAAAGCTTTTTCTTTTCTGAATACAATTCTATTCATATTCTCCATGTAGCAAGTTTGAATGTGTGGGATGTATTTGCCATTAAACCTTTCTGTGTGAAATGTAAATACAAAATCACCTATTAGAGTCCTAGCTCAGCTTCTAAATGGAATTACTTGTAACATCTTTGGACTTTAATTATGTGAGCTCCACTTAAGCATCTGCACATTTGATTCCTGGAGACAACTTGCAATAGTGTAGTAAAATGTTGTTTCTCACTAAACAGATACAACAAACTTGTCTTTATAGAGTAATAGCATTTTTTTCTGACTTTCAGACTAAGGTGGTCCATTTGCAGCAGCTTAATATAAAGGTAAACAAATTATTAGTATTAATAAAACATTATCACATATACTGAAGGCATGATTCAAAAATGGCTAAGAATTTCAAAAGATAAAACATACTCCAAGGAATGTCCACCTGCGTCGTTAATATATTTCATAGATTATTTGAAGAAATTGCAGTTATACTTACTGAGCAGGCCAAATAATTAAATAATTATACATTTTGATTGAAAAATATATGGAGTTCATTAAAATAGAGACTCCAACTCCAGTTCTCTAGCTAGGCTTCTGTTCAGATGCCAAGTTTGTACTTTAATTAGAACAAAAGACCGCCATTAACTTCAGTACAACATGATAATTCATACTAATGATTGTGTATTAATCTCTTGAGCTTGCTGGAATATAGCGCACGACATATGGCATAGTGTAGGCACCTGTGTGGTCCTTTTGGGACTGAGGTGGTACATATTAATTAGCCCCTGGAAAATAAAACCTGCTTCCTTCTGAGAAAAGCTACCCCAGTGCTTATTGGCTTAAGACATCAAAGGCATTGGACGGAATACTGTTAGGCTCTGTCTACACTCAAACTGATGCTTTGTCTAGATGTAGGCGTTAAATCAACCGCAATTAACTGAGTTAATTCTTGACAGATCCTGCTCAAGAAATTACAGTAGCCAGGCTTTTCTTTGGCCTCAATGATTGGATTTTGGCTAAAAAATCCAAATTATCATTTTGATTACAGAAAATGGCATAACTATGTAATTCAAATACAAAATAATCTAACCAGGACCTATTAAAATTTGAAGGAGCGTCTTTTTCTTGAACGCTGCCTGAAAGTGCTTCAATTTAATCCTTTGTTTTCCAAGTTCAGATACAATCTGAATATGAGGATATAAATGTCTTTAAGAAATACATCATCTCAAAATCAGCAAGGTCTCAAGATTCTTGGTGGTCCCAGGAATGCTAACAGCATTTCAGTGTATATCTTTGAAGGATAATAGAAAGGTATTATGGAAATGAAATGATTAACATTTGGCTGATTAACAGATAAATGTATATGGAGATGAACAGAACTTAAAATTATTTTCTGAGAGTTAAAAAAAACACAAAAAATACCCTAATCCCATTGCTAGAGTCCATCTAGAAAGAGAAAACAAAACCGAATGGACATGGTGGTGACCAAAAAGGGCTACGTTAAAAAAAAATTCTTTTGCAACTCCCCCTTTAAATTTACCCCACTTGAAGCTCTAAACTGCATGAAACAAACCCACTTAACTGAAAAGTATTTACACTTAATGGGGTGCTTAGAAATCTGTGAAGCTGAAGATCTTCCAGAGTAGCAGATTCTAATGAGGCTTTTTTAAGCTAGCAGTTTAAACTCATGCAGGAAATACAGATCCACAAGGGCAGCTGGGCAGAATATTTCTTTGCTCTAATAGCACATTGTTTGTTTTCTCTCCTGGGTTTCATCCGTGCTTCTGTGATGGAACTGTTAATGCTGCTGATGTCTCCTTTGGAATATATGACCCATTTCCCTTCTGTCCAACACATGGACTGGCAGTTTAAAATAATTCCTTTTTATTTAGGGAATGTGAGGCCAGGGCGCACTTAAATAGCCCTTTAAACCAATGAGATGACAATGGGCTACCTTCAGAGAACACTTAATTTTTAGAGTAATTAATTACACATACTACAGGATGTCTCAGGAGAACATTTTTGGCTGGGTCTACCAGGTATGAAAATAATTAGGGTTTTTCACTTGAGGCAAAGATGCTGATTCATCATTGGACAGATGGTCACAAATCATCTATTTTATTTTTGCATCACTTATCTTTCCAGTGGGGGAACCTTCAGTTAGTTATTCTGAGTTACAAGGATGGGATAAAACTGGTTGTAAATCCCAGCACCTGTTCTTTTTTATCTCCCCACCCACCCACCCCCCCCCCGCCCCAGTGAAAGTGTACGGGCATTTTGAGGAAGAATTTATGAGACACGTAGCTTCTGGTCTGTTTTGCATAATCTTACATCTAGTTGGCACGGTGCTCTACAGTGGTGTACTTATTTTTGTGATGTGCACATAGACACCGTATAATTTATCTACAGATGTACACCACTGTTGGGGTGGACCACCGTCGTGAGCAGTGATGTAGTTTGTTTCTTCCAACACCTCCATTAAACCAGTGAAGTGGCAGATGACACAGTTGTGCAGAAATACATGAAAGTCGTCGATTATATCACTTTCTGTAACCAAAAGATTTCTTCTGACACTTTCTGCAGCACCCAGTGTGAAGAACCTGGGTCTGGTCCCCAGAGGGCCCAGCAGAGACACGTACCTTGACCTTCTTTATTAGCTGTGGAACTTTGGACAAGTCACTCAACCAGGTTTCCCCCCTTTTAAAAATGGGATCATAAGGATTCACTCAGGAAAAAAAAATAATTAGGTTAAAAAGTCTAGAACAGCGCCTGACACGTAGCAGGCACAGGTGGTCGCTGTGTCTGTATCCTTTATTAAAACATAGAATGGTTCCTGTTGTTTTTTTTTTGAAACCGTGCCATTAATAGCAAAGCTGTAGGTATCTCTTATTATTGTGACTCTTCAAGTTCTTTAGATATACTGCCAACTAATGTTTTCTCAGGACCCAGGATTAACGTAGATGAGAAATTCTTAAACATCAGTGTACATCGGGGAAGGCTTGCTGAAGGTCAAGAACCTTAGACTTCCTTCCCCAAATCCACATTCGGAGGCGTGCTGATTTAACGTGGGGCTAACATGTCCTCTGAGAAGAGCATTTTCCTCAGTGCTGTCCCTCCTGACCGCGGGTGCCACGTGGAGACTCTCTCCACCTCCCTCAAGTACCTAGTCTGTGTGCCCTTTGCGTGGTGCCCCTGGGACAGTCATGTGTGTTAGGGATAGTCAGAGAATGAACTTGTCCTTAACTTAAGAAGCAGTGATTGCAGCCCACACAGCATCTGATTCAATGGCTGGTTACATAGAATGTACTGGAAACTATTTATAACCCTATTACCCCCGAGACGGCATGAGATACTCTACATGAGAAAGCAAAGAGGCTTAAATTCTAACAGCACTTTTGTTACCAGCTGGGGTAACTCCACCAAATTTCCTGAATCACTTTGTCTTCAGTTGCTGCATCTGACGGGGGCACTGTCGCTTTCCCTCCCTGAATGTGACCTTCCGGGGCTTAGACCAGGATGTCTCAGGCTTCCCTTTGACTCTGGAATCTGTACTTTTTCACAGAGGGCGGCATCCCATGTGTACCCTGCCTACACTCAAACTGCAGTGGTGCACATCTGCCACATTTTCTTTGGAGAATAACCATTTCTGATTCATTATGTCCTGGTACACTATTATGCACGAAGGATTATGAGACGTGCCAGGCACCCAGATATCTCAGCAACAAATTCAACCTACTGCCAACTTATGAAAACACATGTTGACTTGCATAGGGTTTTATTTACTTGGATGCATTAAGGAAAAATTAAAATGATAGAAATTTGAAGAAACCCTGAGTTAATCAGACTATAGCAGTAACGTTCCTCGTTAAGAGGTTTGTTGCAGTCAGAGATAAAGAGCAGCATTTGTACACTTGTGGACGTCCGTTTCAATTCAGTTTCTTCACATAATCTCTTAAACAGACTAATAAAAACATGTTAGTCCATAGTTAACTTCAGTTTTCAAATAGAAAATACCATATCATTTAGAAGTTAAAAACACAGAATAGTGAGGTTTTGATCTGTGCAATGTGGTTTAGCTAAGTACACAATCTTTAAGCAAACGTACAAACGTTTTGTGCTCTTTCAACACTATTAACAAATGAAGAGACTGAATTGACCCAGGATTTTGTCCTAAAAGGATAAACTACCAAACTGATGATTATTTGTCTTTGTTTTTAATTCAATTCCAAAGGAAGAACTGGAATGAACACATTGAACCTTAATTCAGTATTTCAGCTCCTTTGGTACAAAGTATTCTATTATTTGACCTGACAGGCATCTATATGTGTATTCCTCCCATGTCTTTTCTGCTGTTTTCTGTGGAGCAAGAGAGGCCAGTGATGTTGAGGCATGTGGGGGCTTGGTTCTTTAGCCCTTTGCTGTAGACATTGCTCCACACGGCAAATACTTTCAAACAAACATTAACATACATTGGTTAAGAAATCTATGTTGTAAGGTAGTTGCATTTCTTATGTAAAATATGTGCACACAGGCAGTTCAGATGGAAACAGATTTCTGCCTGAATTACAGAGCTAATTGCCTCAATTCTCTTCTTTGCCTTAAGCGTATGAACATTACTTATGGTAGGAACAGCTGACCCTTATAAATCAATTAATCAAAACTGATGAATTCTTTCCCCACATTGTTAGTTTTCCTTTAAACAATGATTACGTTCATGTTCATCCACAAGAAGTGAAGACTTTCACATCTGGGCAGTGTCTGTGAAGTTGCTCTGGAGGTGTATGGTGGGAACGTGGGTTTGAATGTTGTGTTAGGCAGAGAAATAATTCACATGAGATGGTCTGAGGATGTCTCCTAAGGGGAACTGCTTTATCCAATACCAAATCAATTTTTACGGGTAAGCTAAAAGTTTAAATTGCCACCTAGTAGAATTCTGGGGTCTTGGGGAAGAGAGGATACTAAGGCCACTCAATGACAATGTCAGTAGACAAGCTGCATTTTCAACATGAGAAAAAAACTGAAGTGTGGGAAAGACACACTCTTACACCATATTTTCTGCATAAAAGTAGAAGCTTGAATATTTTCTATGTTGCCATCTCAGTCACAATTAAGTATAAAGATGGGAAAAATATCCAGTTTCTTTGTAGACTTAAGGAAATTTTTGTTGATCAGTACAACTATTTTGTTCATAATAAGTCTTTCTGTTGGCAGAAATAGGAATTTGATGCTTTTTAAGATATTTTGGGATTTTTCAAAGAAAAAATTTGATACTTTCCTGTAAAAATTACATGGTATTCTGTGAAAACTGCCTTGCAGCAAGTTCAAGAAAAGGTACAGGAAGGGGGAGAGGTGATGTGCGATGCTTTCATTTTAGAGTAGCTCTGTTTCAGTGCTTCCAACGGAAATGACACAGGAGGAAATAAGAGACATTTCCTCCTGCATAAGATATACATCACTCCTGAAATTTTTATAGAATCAACTGAGACAAATCAGGGGCTTCAGAGCTACTCAGCTTATGAGTTGTTAGGGAAAAAAAAATTTACATTTAAATTGCTCTGTGCAGCTACCTTGAGATGTTCCCCTGGAATGTTTATGGCTCTTTTTTTCATTAATACTTTAAAAAAATACAATTTCAAAACCAGTGTATTACTACAGCTAGTTGTGTTACAAACAGGCACTTCATTTTATAAAATAGACACATTCAAAGTGGTTTTGGTCAACCAGTCACTCCGTCGGAATACTTGTTCTTCATGTTGAGTAATCTGAAACCATGTCAACTGGCCACTTCTATGACAGAGACTAGGTCATTAAAGCTCTAACATAGGGAATATTTTCTGTTTCTATGTGTTTTACCTATAGGAGCAATGATTGTCTAAAACATCTTGGACATTTTCCCCCCAAATATTTTTATATATATATATAAAAATACAGCAGATTTCTTTTTAATAGATAAATCTTAACTATTATTTCAATAACTTGCTTTTGCATAATCAGAAAGGTAGATATGAAGAAAAATATTAAATGTGCAAAATGCTCTTTTTACACGTATATTAAAAAATACAAAGTAAGAATAACTTTATGCTTATATAAAAAGCCATTGGGGGGAAAAAGTCTTCAATGTCAGAAAATCTGGTCAGATTAGAGCTTTCGCTTGAGGAACTGTAAACAAACTGTAAATGCTGAGAGTTTTCTCAGTTCTTTCCAACTAAGACACTCTCGAACACATCGAGTCCTGCTTTGAAGTAAAGCTGAGCTGCACTGATGCTGTTCAGCACCTCTGACACAGCTTCTTGAAGGGTCTCATTTGATGCAAGTGACTTGCAGTGCTCCCAAGCCTCCAGGAGTATTGAAAACTGGCTTGTCTTCCCATCAAGGTGGTACAGGATATTTCTAAAAGAGAAATACAGAAGGAGAAAGTGTTTTATGCAGTGCTATTTTCATATCAAACGTCATAAAGATATTTCCAAGAAACAGTGACGGTTGTAATAAGTGAAATTATAAAAATACAGTATTATCATTTTTGGCCTCTATGAATGGATATAGACATTTACCATCAAAAGTTCCCTATAGTGATGAGAGAGAAGGAGAGGAGGAGACTGTATGTACCTCTTGATGGAATTACACAATACTATCTATGAAAAAAAGTAGTTTTGCTAAAAAAAAAAAAAAGTTGAATCTGAATCTGATGAGGCTTCTCAATCTAATGTCTAATAAATAATGAGGGAAAGAAAAATACATAAATTATACTATGGTTTTGTAATCAGCAACATACTGTGGGAAATTCTATAGGACAAATGATCCAGTTTATTCAAAAAATAAATTGCAGTAAGAAATAAGGAGGAGCCTCCAGACTAGGATTTCTCAGCCTTGCATTATTGACACTGGGTGGTAGAGCAGGCAGGGAGCGGGTGGGGGGATAACTGTTCATTGTGGCCGCGGTCCTGTGCATTGTAGCATGTTTAGCAGTATCCCTGACCTCCACCCACTCGATACCAGTAGCATCCCCTCCTTGAGTTGTCTGCGAGATGGGGCTGCTGTCGTAGAATACCATAGACTGGTGGCTTAAACAACAGATATTTATTTCTCACAGTTCTGAAGGCTGTAATTCCACGAGCAGGCTGCCAGAGTGGTTAGATTCTTGGTGAGGGGTCTCTTCCTAGTTATAGTCTCACAAAGTCTTGTGCATGCACACAGAGTGATCCGTGACTTCTCTTCTTTTTCATAAGGACATTAGTCCCATCAAGAGGACCCCACCTGCGTGACCTAATCTAACCTGCGTTACTTCCCAAAGGCCCACCTCCAAACACTATCCCTTTGAGGTTAGGATTTTAACATATGCATTTTGGGAGAACACAAACGTTCAGTCCGTAGCTGTTGTGAAAACCAAAAATGTCTCCGGACTGCCGGAATGGTCCCTTACAGGGCAAAATTGCCCCTAGTTGAGTATAGCTGCTTTAGACCAAACAAAACATATCAACCAGTCACAAAGTATAGACTTTACTAGGTCTGTTCTCAAACAAAAAAATGAAACGTCGTACAAAACTGAATACTAATTAAAGACTTACTAAGAAGTTGTTAACATTTTGGGTGTGATAATGATATCAGTACGATTTCAAAGTGTCCTTCTAGAAATACATACAGTAATATTTGCAAGTGAAATGCTATTTCTTATATTTGCTTCAAAATATTTAGAAGGAAAAAGGGTGGAGATATGGACAGTGCAAGTAGAACAAGACCGACTATTAATTAATAATTGTTGAAATTGGGTAGTGTATTCATTATACTGTTCTCTCCTTTTGTATATGTTTGACATCCAGATGTCTTCTCCTAAGTGTAGAGTGTGTAATAAGATGCTACCTTGAAATGTATCCAAATATCCGAGGAAGAGGAATTTGGCCTTGGACATGTCTAAAGAGGTTCCTTTTATTCACTGATTGATAGAAAGAGGTACATTTTGGTAGAACACTATGGATCATTGCATCATTTGACTTATTTCCAACCCAAACTAGCTGAAATAGCTGAAATGTTATGGTCTAATAAGAGAGGCAGCTGTGTAAATAATTAAAATATAGTTGTCTAATTGTCATATTAGAAGTATAAGGTCTAGTGATAACAGACGACAAATTGCTGCTGGCAAAGGTCAGAAAAAGTTCATAATGGAAAATATTTCAACTTTATCTTGAAGGATGATGGGAATTGCCAGTTACTGGGGTTTTGGAAAGGAGACAAGCTAGAAAGTGGAGACAGCACCCTATGCAGGAGGAATAGCACAGGCAGGGTATGGATTTATAAAACAGCTTGGTGTCCTCCGTGCATCATTACCAGTGTTTCTCTATGACCATAGTGCAAGGCCAGAGAGGGAAGCTTTGGGAGAAGAGCTGGGAGAGCAAAAGTCATGACCATGTCATGCAAGGTCTTCCCTATCAGGCTAAGGAGGTTACAGTTTTTCTCGGGCAATAGGAAACTAATGAAAGGTTTTAACCAAGTAAGAACGGTTATTAGATTGTATTTTGGAATAATTACTTTGGTTGTAATATAAAGCCTAGAGAACTGCTCAGTCCGGATGAAAAGTGACACAGATGTGAGTTAGACAGTGGTAGTTAAGTTTGAGAAAATGGAGCAAGGGCCACAGTTCAAGATTTAATTAACTTATACGTTTCCCTAGCACCAACCTCATTTTTATATAGAGTTCTGGACCATCATTTCCCATCTTATCAAGGCTCCACTACCTCAACTGCTCCCGAACTTCCCACTCTGTATTCTGTGGTGGTGAATGGGCACTGAAATTTACCTAATTGCTCATGCCAGAACCCTGCAAGTCACTCCTTTTCCTTAAATATCCAACTGCTTTCTGCAGTAACTTACTTCTTTTCTTCTCTGTTGTGGGACCCTGATCCCTATATTTTCAAGATACACTACGATATTATTGCTTTACATGTCAGGGGTGAGAGATACCTTGCCTCTTCAGCAGATTTCATTCTGTGTTGTGAACATAGGAGGTCTTGCATTATGCTTATATTTAATTGACTTAAATTTTTATCAGGCTTTGTTCAGTGACAAGAATTTAGTAAGCCCTCTACTGTCAGTATAAATGACCTCAATTCAGGTTCTTTTGCATTTTAAGCATCAGCTAACTTAAAAATAGCAGATTTTGGCGTCAACTATTATCAGTTGATAATAGTACCTGTTGGGTGGCAGTGGGACAGGAGATCCTTGAATTCAGAGATTACTTCAGTATTTTTTTTTCACAATGTATTATTTGAAATGGGAACTATATCTAATAATCCAATATCCTTGATCTTTGTTCCTGTGAGTACACTTGACATTAAATGAATTAAAAGAGCTGTGCAAGGAAGATACTTCTTTATATTCCAAATATTCTTGAAAGCAGGTATAACCTGTGCATTAAGAAACACATATTCCCTGGCTACAGAAGGGAGAAAAACATTTCCAAATGGAGTGGCAAGTGGGTCACGAGCAATGCTTTGGCTGTGAGTGG